AAGACATATCAATGGAATGAAAAACAAAACATCAAAAAACAAAAGCAGAATCACTTACAGTCACACTTCCATGTTTCACAGCATCCATCAGAGACCTTTGTGGCCTGGCCTCTTGGACAGTTGGGAATTATAGGCTCTGGACAAGCCACTGATGCCAAAATGATCTTTCCATTTACACAGCTCTTATAGAAGCAGTCTTCTGTCCATGTCTCACCACAAGCCCAGCGTTTTCTATTCTTCAGGTCTACACATTCACACACTGGTGGTATGATTGTAGACATTGAAGACATGGAAAAAACACAGAAATGTAGTTGCATGTACAGAAAGGACATCTAGGACCAATGAAGAACAGAGAAACCTCACCCTGGGATGTGGACCCTTGTGTTTGTGTTGGTCCCGTGCCTACAGTTGTAGACTCTGATGTGGTAATCTGTACCGTGGTGTGTTCACTGACATTTATTTTTGTTGTCAGTTGTGTCGAAACAGCAGTTGTCAGTGAAGAAGTGGAACTCGTTATAGTTGAAAATGAGGTGGTGCGTGACCAGGTAGTTTCTAATGTTTGGTTAGCTTCTGTAGAGGTTATTAAGGTTACTATGGTAGGTGAGGGAGTTGTCAGTGTAGTAACAGGTGAAGTAGGTGTAGGCTGAGAGGTGGTAGTGGGCATTGCTGACCATGTTTCTTTACTAGTGGCAGTATTAGTCGTTACTGACACTGTTGACCATTGAGCAGTGGTAGTTGCTGAAGCTGTTGGTGTAGAGGTGGTGGCCATAGTTGACCATGCATCCGTGGTAGTGGCAGTATTTGCTGGTGTAGAGGTGGACACTGTTGACATTGCTTCAGCAGTAGTTGAGACATTGTTAGTGGTAAATGTTGGTGTAATGACAGTGGTCGAAGCAGTTGTTTTGGGAGTACTTGTTGCAGGTGTGGTAACAGGTGTAGTTGTGGGTGGTGGTGCTGTAATAATAGAAGTGGTGACAGATACAGAAGCTTTAATTGAAGACTTTCTACAGGGCTAAAAAAAAAAAAATCTTCAGTAGTTACAGTAGTTCACTGCAGTAGATCTTTTTATGTTACCCACATCAAAGCAGTTGCAATTCTAACGTCATTTAGAAATATATTTAGTAACAATGTAATAGTAAAGGAATCCAAATTGTCACTCAAACTTACCACAATAAATTCTTCCATTTTCACACAAGCTGGAAAATACACAGAACATCCAGCAGTGTCACTTCAAATGTAACACTTGATTTGACATTTGATGATTACACTGAAAATGTTGATATTTAGA